TGTCAGAGCATCATGGCACTAACACAATCAAAATAGAAAGTATAATTGCATGTGATGAGAGTGCTCCACAGTTTAATGGATGAGCTGTTTAAAGTGCAACACATTCATCTCTCCAGGAAATCACTGTGCTTGTAGCTTCCTAATAACACAGTTTATTAAACTAAACTTCTCGATTTTTCTTCCAGATAAAACAGACAATTGCCCTGTCAAATGGGAATTAAGGGCAACACAAACAGAAATGTCCAGTGTAGTAACACACTGAGTTTTCAGTGTTCCTTTCCCCTTCCCTCCACAGAACTCCATTACTCCCGCTCACAGCCCCTAGCTCTGGATGCCAGCTGCTGTACTGGCTGTTGCACCGTATCTTTGTCTTTGCCCTTCTCCTTTCCCTGCAACAGCCCTAATTTCCCTTACAGGCCTATCCTGGGATCCTTTCCCGACTCCAGCTCCACCTCCCTTTTGGTAACAGAGAAAGGGGCACACGTGCCACACCTACATAACCACATACGCTTCTATTTCTAAGCCTGTTCTGCCTTTTCCTCACTCCACTGTGGCTCTTCCCTTGTATTTAAATAAGGCCCTGGGAAGCAAGACTGCAGGGTAGTGGTTGGAAGGGTGCATCAGCTTGGGTTTTTGACACTCAGCAGTAATATAGACACCTAGACCGCTTTCCTTAGACCTATTTCTTGTGGTTGTTCAGTCTGGAGAAAAGATGCCTTACGAGGCACAATTGCAATCTGCCAATATGTAAAATGGCTGCTACACGAGGAAGTAACCTGCTTGTTTTGTCTGCTGCAGACAGCATCAGAGCCACACTCAAATTATCAGGGAGGCTTAAGTGAGGTCCTATGATTCCTCTGACCAAAGGCAAACATCTCTGATGGAATCACTTCCACCTGAGGTAGTCATCCCTGGCTCCCTTTGTACTCTCTTACAGGACAGAGGTGCTTCGAGGGTCAAATCCATCTGACCTAATTTAGATGACTCTGCAGAACGGTGTGAATTGGATCCCCAGAGTGACTATTTCTTTCTACTGATGTCAAAGGTGACGAGTTCACATGTGGATATGCCCACTGCAGACATCTACCTTTAGCCAGATTAACATCGGGCAGGAAAGAGGAAGGGATGGATTTGGTTGCCAAACTCCTTCACTGGCAAGTTTTACAAACAAGTTTGGCAAAGCTCTCACAGATGAGGCTTAATCCCTCTCCCTTGGAACAGAGAAAAGAGTGTGAAACTTCTCAAAGTCCATTTGAACCTTGTCTTCCAGTATAATCCACAGCTGCCGAGTAATTCAACACCTCCTCTTTGTTTGCCTCCTGGATGTCTCTGGGTTCGACCTCCTCATCACCCCTGAGCACTCCAGCTTCTAGTCTTACCTTCCAAATGTCCTGTTGGCTGTGTCTTTAATTTGGATTTGGATGATAGCATGAGATCGAGAGGAATCCGAATTGACTCTGGTAGTGCCTGTGCTACGTTCTTTTGCCCCCTTCAAAATCACCTGCAAAATAAGGGGGACAAAATGCAAGCAAATTGTAAATAAAAGCACAGTCTCTCAGAAAGAGACCTTGTTCTCCTGAGGGGAGGTAACATTAGGAGCAATGGTTCATTACAGCCTTACAATCTGGTGCAAGGCAGATGCTACCTTAGGCTGGATCCCTGCCAGTGTTTCTTTCCGAACTTTGTATATGCACGTGCTCGCAGGGATACTTAGAGACCATACGCTGTGCAGCAGTAACGTAAGAAAACAGGGAGAGAAGCAAGGCAAGAGGACAGAGGATCCTTCAAGGCACAAATCTGGGTAAGTCTCTTGCAACCTTTTAAGGACGACTGCAGAAAGTCTAGCAGCAACTGGAGCAGCCATTAATTTTGTTTCTGGCCGAAAGAATAGATTTAAATATTATCTAGCAAAACCAATACGTTCTTGGTTGACAGATGCGCATTATTCATGCCTTTCAGAGGCCAGTTCTCAACCAGCAACCCAACCACCTGCTGCAGCTCCCGAGCGTTTTATTAGTGCTAAATGCAGATAATTTCTGAACCAAAGCCAACATCAATGAATAGTGAATAACTAGGGATATGTATTCAAGCCTCCTCCCATCTATCTGTTAAGCTGTGAATCAAGCCAGTGACATTTCTGTGTTCAAACGGGCCTGTGGACAATAGAAAATTATTTTTTTGCCCAGATACCTGTGAGAACGAAGTCATTTTATGGCTCTTCTATGTGTGGAATGTGATAATAGAGAGGAATGTGTTAATCCACCATATAGCAAATTTACTACAGCATGTCCCGAAGGATAGAGTTAATGAGAAGACAAAGAACAGAATTAAATGGAATATAAGTGGGCACACCATGCCAGTTTTAATGAGTCAATTACACTATCAGGCAATTGTAATTTGCAATTCCTTACTGAGAATGGAATTAAACTGTGCAAAGTCAGGCTACATAGAAAGCAGATTTAACCAGCTTACTTGCTGCAGGACAATGCAGAAAATTTGCCAGCGCCCTTTTAGGGCTTAGCCAGGCTGGGAAGGAAAACCAAAGCCTTGCTTGAGCTGCATGTCAGCTATTGTTTAAAGATCCTAATTTTACATGGCTGTTATCACCTGTGAGTTTCTAAGCAGTGTCTTAATCCTCATGCAGATCACTATCTCAATCAAGTATTTTCTAATTTTTAGTCCTACTGATTTTCAAACTTGTATCTTTTAACCCACATCCACATGCCTTTTATATAGAAAAATTAAGTTCATAGAAGCCGAAGAAATCACACTGCGAAAAAATACCTATCCAGCTTTCAGAGTCCCTTGCTGGGACACTATTTAATTTCTGGAATAGTGACAGCGGTCCGTTTCTTGTCCTAAGGAGTGGTAGCAGAAGCGACAGCTGTACGTCAACAGCTTGCATGTCACTAACACCAGTCACAGTGACCCAGAAGCTTACTGAATAAAGGCTCCTCAGTGCTCTGCTGGGGTTGGCAATCTCAGACCCTTCAACAGGAACACACATGTATGCTACACAACAAATAATCTCTGCAAATGACATATTGTAATAATTAGCAAATAAGGCTGTAGAAGGGAAATTGAAAAAGCAAAGGTAGGGGCTACCTCCAACAGTAGATCTACAGAGTCCACATGAACCTCCCACAGTCCAACTATTTGAACGACATGCTTGTTATCTTCTCTTGCAAAAAGCCTGAAAAAAAACAGTGCAGAAAATTTTCTGAAATCCCAAACAGCTTCAATGAAAGCACATGTCAGTGCTATGACACTGTGAAAAAGCAACCAAGGCTACCGACTGGGGAGAGGCACCACTGTCATTCATCTATTTTCAGAGCTGAGGAGATATTTCATTTAGAATGTGTACCACTGACATTTCACTGTTAAGGAGATATTAGCAATTCATTGCTGCTAGTTTAGGAATACAATAAAGCAGGAAAGTAAATTATCATGTTCGCATTTTAGAGTTCCTGTCTCTCTCTATACCACATCTCAGGCTTCTCTAGGAAGTTCAGTTTGTAAGCTATGCTCTGTACGAGTTCCCAAGATTTTTGCACACAATTTCAAAGCAGCTCTCATAGCCGCAGAGTCAGATTTCAGAGCACCTCTGCTGTGAATGACACAGAAGCGTCACAGTATACAGGAAGAATACAGACATGATGCATGCAGGAAGTTCAATCTTCCCCTTCAGTGACATGTAAGATAGCGAATGGACATGCAGAGAATATGAAGGCACTCCTTCTTACATAGTAAATCATCTCCTTACATAGCTGGCTGCCTGCTCCTTACAGACTGTTGTGGAGAAAGGGAGCACACGTTCACAAAACAGGTGCTTCCTTTGGAAACAGATGCTCACTTCCCCAGGCAGAAAGCTCTCCAATGTGCTCTCAAGATAGTGTTCTCAAGGCTGCTCAAAGTCTCCAGCAGGTAGGCAATGTTCCTTCAAGATCACTCCGACAAGATTTCACTGCTGAAATCTTAACTGACTGTTATTTTATTTAGAGATTTCAGACCACAGCAGAGTTTTTTATCTACTGCGTTGTCCCAGTTTGCATTCTGGATGGAGCTCCTGTAGGAGTATACATCCATCTGAATGAGTCCGGGGCTGAAATGCTACTACTGATGGCGATGGCAGCATCACCTCACTCTGGCTGAGTCACTGGGCTGCTGGGTAAAGGCGCTCAGGGAGAAGGCGAGCAGACTCTGAAGCATCAAGCATGACAAGTGGGAGATCAACAGGATCTTCAGAGACTAGAGTGGCAAGAGCCAAATTCCCACCGGCACAACAGGATAGTTGTGTTTGAGCAGGGAAAGACAGGGACTCCACAGTGGTTGGAATAAGAACTTGTGGCCACAAGAAGGTTCTTTCTCTACCTATGGATATTCAGCTAGTACATTACTGTAGAGTAAGCAAAACAGCATGAGCTCATTTCTCCACCCTTGGTCCTTATGCTTTCTTATTTCCCATGCCCAGCCAAAACAGTAGAAGCCAGGAGCCCCTATCAAGGCCACAGTATTTAGTGCCAGACTCTGCCTTCCTTTCTAAGTTGCTCCTAGGAACAATCCTAATTAAATACTTAACATTTACTATACATGGTAATATATTACGTGTAATTGCACGAAACTGTAACTGATTTATAAACAGTAAGCAACTGATTCCTAACCATATGTTTGTAGCAAAATGTGTTTTTAAATACCTTTTTCTTCCATTTAGCAGATCATAGAGCTGTCCGCAGTAGATCTCATAAAAACTGATAAAAACAAGGAGATCTTTCCTTGACTGTGATGCTTCCAGGTGTCTAAAGATGTCCTTGGCAGCCAGTGCATAGAGTCCTGGGTTCCGCTGAGTACCTATCATCGTGTAAGTCTTGCCAGCACCAGTCTGCCCATATGCGAAGCAGGTTGCATTGCCTCTGTGAAGAAAAGCTTACATTTTTAATCTACTAAAAGAGATTCTGTAGTGTCACTATCTATCTAACTATTGCAGACTCTTAGCAATGAGGTTTGGTTAACTTTCCTGTCTGGGATATTGCAAAACAACAGTGATTGCCAAGCATGTCCTATGGAAAGCTGCCATGTCAGAGTGCTGGCTCTCTTCCTTTCTTCCAGATGCCAAAAATGCATTTAAAGAAACTAAGAATTCATTATTATTCTTCCAGCTGTTTAGACGCTACAGAAGTAGCGTCGGATCGTGAATGGGAATCCTACTGATTATTAATCACACAGAAAAGTTGCTGTGACACCAGATGCAAACCAGTCACATAGGTCAGCTTCTGTATTAACACATGTTGTACTTGATGAAAATTAACACCCTGGCACTTTAATTTACTGAGGGAGGTCACTTTGGCTCAGGCTGCAGTCCTGCATGCAGCTCAGTCAATCTAAAGGGCTGTTGTTGCCTAGGGGAAGGTCTTGCTCTTCCCTTCCTCTGCTCCCAGCTGTGTGACCTACCCCACTGTCCCAACCCTCACTGTGCTGGCTCTGATGTTTGACTTTACAGCACTGAAACAGCAGAAAACTTTCCATGGTTTTTGCAAGCTGATTTTCTGCTGTGTTTAAAGTACCTTGCAGAGGATCGCGAAATATGCCTAAACTGGCTTCACGTGACCTATAGGGATGTGTCTAGGAAGAGGATTATTCCCCTTCCGTGGCAGAGAGCTGTTCATTTCGCTCACTCCAGGTAGTGAAATCACAGCCTTGGCTGGTTCCAGATTGCTCCAACTTTGTCACTGAATCCCCTTAAGGTTATAATGGCGATGCACACGACATGCCAAGGCGGTCTCAGGATACAGCTCCTCTGCACTTCAAGCCCATCTAAGCTGAGCTTACTGTGTGCCTACTTCCCCATCCTTGCTCTTCTACAAGCACTGAACCCATAAGTATGATGTGAACAGACTCGGGGAACTGAACCAGGCAAAAAAATTAAATACTACAGAACAAAGGATTTACTTTCCCCTTACCTTAAAAAAAAAATATACTTTTTAGCTGGCTCAGTACCCTGGCAGAGAAATGAATGAAAATGTAGGGTTGCAGTAAACATAGCGAGCAATTTCTTGCCAGCTTCGATTGCAGAATTATCTGACCATGGTGTGAGATCAGACCAATGCCAGTGAAGAGGATGCAGTGGGAGTGACAGAAAAGTTAGGGAAAGCTAAGAAAAAACAGTGGCATCTCTTTTGGGGGCACTGCTGGATTAGCTGTGATGTGAACTGTGCCTGTAGTGATTACTACACAGCAAGCTACAAGATTCTCCTTTTTCACTTTCCTTTTCTCAAGAGCATGATAATCTTTGTCTCTGCTGGCGATACTTGGAGATTTTCAGTAACAGACTGCTCCATTTTGTTGATTTTCAGCACGGATATGTAATCCTTTCCTTCAAAGACTCAAAAATGTAATTATATTCAAGCTTGTTGCTTGGTGTGAAAATAAGATCAGCCATGTAAAGCCACCATCAATTTCCTGTTAATCAGGAAGTATGTAATTATGATTAAACCTCCAAGCAAATATAAATCAATAAAATAAAAATAAATCACAAGGTTATTAGTAATTTCTATTGCCCCATGACATGCACAAATACATGCAAAATTATCTCACAGCCATCTCATGAAGGAGGTACTATTATTCTGTTACAGATGAGTGTTCTATACCACACAGAAGCCTTTTTAGAGTGGAGATTAGACTTCAGAAATCCTGGCACACATTTTTTTCATTCTAGGCAGGCCACAGTGTCTCTTTGTTGCAGCTAAGGTCCAATTTTAACTTCCTCTGTGATTTAGATTTCTCACCAAATGTGAAGAAATTTTTCCCTAATTTATTTTCTCAAAGTTGAAGTCAAAGACATCCTAATAGGGAGAAGGTACATGGCAAAGATGAAATGAATGTATTTTTCAAAAGATGAAAATCATAAAATGAAAATTTAAAGCAGTACATGATATTGAAAAACAAAAAGGCAGAAAACAACCAATGTAAGCATTGATGCCCTACCCTTTAAAAATATGTTGAATGAGAGGATGAGCTGTCTTCATATACACATCCTGATTGGTACAGGATTCCCCGAAGACTTCATCAAAATAAAAAACATGCTGAAAAATAAACATGACGTGTGCATGAAAATGAGTATGTTTCTCTTCCCCTTCACCCCCATTCAAAGGTAAATTTAAATACAGGAGTCTTTCCATTGGCTTCATATGGCTTTGGTGAGGTACAAAGCAATAGGGCACATTTAACATGCAGTGTGACATCTGCAGGAACACATCATCACGACTAATCAGGAGATGGAGGGAGCGGGTAGGGAGGAAGCAAAGATGCCTTAATTTCCCATCAATCTGAAGCAGAACGTACCACAGCCTTCTGACAAGGGAAAAAAGTAAAAAGCTAATTAAAGCAAGCCCTCATCTATTCCCAAAATGAATCAGCCTGCAGATACCCAGTAACACTGTAACAGTAAAAAGCACTCAAACTCTGAACTCCCTCAAAATCAGTCCTCAGTGATCAACTGTCTCTCTTCTGCACACTTAAAAACTTTGTGTGCCAGAGAAGACAGAAGCTATCCCTAAGGAAAGCTAGGTTGTATCATCTCAGAAGGGGGCAAGAAAACCCAAAACCTTCCGCACTCCAGGTCTGACCCAAAGCAGCAAGGCCTCTGGAAACACTGCAACAGGGTTCATTGTGGCTCCTTCTAGGTTAAGGATAGTGTTTTCCGGGACAGTCACAAACACATTTTCAAAAGCGCCTCCGTGCACTGGTGCCCAACGCTGCACTATAACAAATTCACTGCAGCGTGAATTGGAGTGGGAGATCTCTAGGGCTGAGAATCACTTCAGTGATGCATAAACAAACTCACCTGCTCAGAGGCAGGTTAAATCAGGGATTCTCAGCAGCTACAGGTGGCTCAGAGGGCAGACATGCTCTGTGATGGCCCGCAGTTTGGGCCGTGGAGCTGGAATATGCCCCACCAACGCCCATTTGATCTGTACCCCTTGCTGTCTTCCTGTAGGAGCAAGAGATGGAGGCAGGGCGAGTAGCCAGACTTGGAGGCAGAGATGTTCTCCTTGGCCCTAAAGACTAGACACATGTCATGGCCCACTTTTGCTTGGACAATACTGATGGATAGCAGGATTTCATTTGTCTCTACTGAGATAACAAAATCAATTAGTGGTTATTTCAGCACTGAGATACTGAGGTGATAAGCACCACATAAATGCCAAATATAGGTAGTCAGATAGAGGGAGTGGGGTGGAATTGCTGCTCGTGTCACACCGTAGAAGGTGGTATACGAACTGGGCCCGACAGAGCTGCAAACTGAATTTTTACTGAATACTCGGAACAGTTGTTCCTAGGACCCAGACTGTAAAAATAACACCCAGTAGAGTGAGAATGGCTTGCTGCTCTCTAGAAATCGATTCTGTTCCTGGTGCTGTCAGTCAAAACTGAGAATCTGAACTATGACAGCACAAGGTATTTGGGATTAAGAAACAAAGACCAAAAGGGAACTCAATTTTCAAAAGCATTTTAGAACAAAGGAAGGGAGGGGATGAGAGTGTATGCAATTCATTGAAACAGGCCTGCAGTGCTGAAACAGTGAAAAGGGAACTTCTTGCTGAAGTACCCTGGAAAGCTATCGGGAGACTCTGTAGCAGGCGATTCTCCTGCAGCAGTGGCATGCAGCAGAGGGTTTTATCTTGCCACACGCCAAGAAAGCTGCAAGAAACATGCCTTTGAGGCTTCAGATTCTGGACTCGTGTGTTCTGCCACAGGCTGGCATAAGTCAAAAGTAATTCAGATACAGTTATGCTGAGCTTATGGAAAAGCCCATCACCACTTTCAGTGCAAGAAATGCAGACAGCCCTTTTCTGTTTCCCCTCTGAAACTCCAAGTACAATTTGCTTTTTTCAAAGCAAATGTGACTGGCCCATAAACACCATAAGTCACCACGCAAGTGACTGGCCCATAAACACAATATTCAAGTAAAGCACGTTACCTGTAAGATATACTGGGTAAGATCAACAGCCTCTTTCTTCTCATGGAGAAGTAGGGTTTCTTTATTTTTCACTGTGATGATATTAACCTCCCCACGTCGCTTCTCTCTCAGGCCTAGAGGACGTTTTCGGACGCACACTCTTATTTTTTCACTTTCTGTCCATGGACTCTCTTTCTCAGAAGTGCTGGATCTATGACAATAGCATAGGTTTGCATTCAGATTACTATGAAATCAAGAATATGCATAAATTTGTCTTGGTTTATGAGCTTTACCAGAAAAATTTCTGTCTTAATGGCTTATCCAAAAAAAACCCAAAACACCTCACCTCTCATTATTACATGGTGAAATTTCTGCTGTTTTTTCCTAAATATACGGATGTCTTTTGTGCAATTCTCTTAAAAGAATAGTTGTGTTTCGACAGCTACATTCCTGAGCTTGTTGCTGGACTAGTGTATTTTCAGTTGTCCACAACTCAACATGACTGAAGCTGGCATAATATACAAGTTAACTTAATGAAATTTAACCTAGCTGAAATTTTTCAGTCATGATTAGTTGTTTAATTATGAATGATAAAAGTATGAACAGATCTTGAAAAGGAGAAGGTAGAATATTTAGCTGCTTTTCCTCTTACACTGACTTTCATTCTTCCTATTACAGGCTGTCAACCAGGTTACAGATAAATGACACAAAGTGGGAAACAAGGCAGTATCACCATGCTACAATTCAGCTCAAAATTAGAAATACTGATCTCGTGATTGTCTCCCCTTTGGTCTTATATCCAATTTGTTTCTTTTATCGTAAAAAATATGAGGTTTCAGACCACTGGCAAAGTTGTGCTCTTTGTGTTTTAGCAAGTTTACTTTAGTTCCCTTCCAGACACCTCAGAACCATGAGGTCATTTCACATTTCATTGATTAACTTGCTGTGTAAAGCATTTTGTGATGCAGCATACAGAATATGCTTGAGTTCAACAAAAAAGTATTCAGTCTACCTTTCCCTTTTTAAACTTTCTTCAGCCAAATGAGTAATGATTTTCAGATGGGATTTAAATGTCAGTTTGTGAGAAAAAATAATTTTAATCAAGCCCTGACTTGCCCAAAAGTAGTGTTTTTGCCATGCTCTCCAAATTCCCTTTCAACATCTCTTAATGTAGCGACTAAAAACTAACGTACTAATTTTCTAATCAACTAAAACCAAACCCACAAGTTACTCAGTATCTAATTAAACTACAAGATTTTGGTATCACTGCTGTTGTTCTGCATGATTCTCCAGAAGCATACAGAATGCAGATATAAATCTCAAGATGTGGTCTTCAAAGACTACACACCAACGATCTTTACTTGTAACAGGAGTCCCTTTAATTTTAGTACAGCTTTGCCATGCAGACCAGGATCAGGCCCTGCATTTAGATGGAAAATTCTTTCCCCTGAAAAGAAAGGCAACGATACTTGAAATAAGATGCTTCATAAGCTAGTGTGAGCTTATGGGTATCACTAGGCACCAAATGTTGTCCAACAAATGATCTGAGGCTCTGAAGCTTAATTCTCATGTCAGAGGCTGGATTTGGTGACCTACAGAAAGAGCCTGTAGTGCACTAGGAGCTTGGAGGAGGAAGGACTCATTGCAAGATTTGGATAAAGGAAAAACTGAAGACTCGGAGGGTCTTTTTTTGTGAGAGAAAATGCATAAATTCTTTCTAGTATGGAGGTGCATAGAATACGTTTTATCTGGGAACAGAATGCATTTTAATTGTATATGCTAAACACAAAGTTTAGATTTTCTGTTACCTTTCATAGACAGAAATTGTATTTTGTAACAAAACGTGGGGCGTTTATAACCAGGGAAAAAAAAAACCAAACCAAAAACCAACCAAAATACCACAAAAATCTCTACACAGGTCACTAGAAACCTGATTAGACAAGAGGCCAGAAGAATCACTGTGCCTTGTCAAAATCAAGGCATTTGCTGTGGCAAGTGCAAAATACATTTAAACATATTAAAGGAGCTCTTCATCTTTGTGCCGTGTGAAATCGTGCCAGTGTTTTCCAATGTTTCTCACAGATGAGACTAGAATAGCCTTCGCAGTGCCCCAGACACAAAGTGACATGGGAATGGAGGGATTCAGTGAAGTAGTCAGGGAGTTGCAAAACAGGAATCACAAACCCAAGCGTCAGCAGACTGGCCCAAGCCTGGAATGCACAACACGTTCTCTGTGGTCAGAACAGCAGGAGAAACTCAGGCATGCCAGAAGGATGCAGAAAGCCCACAGGATGAACCCTAATGCTGGGCACAGAAGAATGTGCTTAGGAAAAAAAGTGAAGAACAAGGGAAGAAAGTGAGAACAACAAAGAACATGGCTCTACCGCAGGATTAAAAATGTTGAACTCCTCTCTCCGAGCCATTAGGTTATATTTTATAACTTTTTTACTTCCCAGCACCATGAATCCTGCTCTTGCAGTGGCACCTTGGCTCAATTTCTAGAGGAGACAGAGAATGCACTAAGATGAAAATATGTGTAGGAGGTTATTTATTAATTAATTCTCCGGAAGGTGGGAATGAATTATTTCCAGCAAAGGGGTTATAAACCTGGGTCTTTCATCTCACAGGTTAACTGCCCTAACTACTGTCCTCTTAGTACTCTTCCAGTGTTAGCAGCACCTATCCCTCCAAGCTGCATGCACACTCAGTGGGAGTTGTAACGGACACCCCAACTCCACGGATCCTCCCACACACTGTATCTTTCACCACAGCCTTTCCAGACCAAGGCCCAGCCTCATGCAGCTACATCTCTTCACTGCATTTTAAACCAACACTGCCACGACTGCAGTGTGGTGACCTAGACACCGGTAGTTTGTGTGCAGAGCTGTACGTGCTCTGCCTGCTCAATCAGGAAAAAATTGTTTTGTGCTTTAAAAATATTACCAGGGTAGACTTACCAGTGGTTCAAGATAACCATAGTCCCTTTATTACCAAACACTGGGAAAAGTATAAAGGTTACAGATCATGTTCTTGGGGAGCAACTGTAAGGCATCCCTCTCACCACTGCATCTGTATCCCATTCCTATTATAGCCATTTTGTTTCCTTCTAAAGCTCCAGTTCAGACATTTCTTTATAAACAAATATAGCCATCACTGCATGTATACTTTTTACTGGGAAAAAAATTGACAAACTTATCAACAGACCATGCCATATTTTGGAACAACAATTTTTTGCAAGATAGTCTTATAGAAAGAAAAAGAGAGATTAGCCTAAACACCAAGAAAATAAAGCTTTCAATCCTGAAAGACAATGAAGACTACTCTTAGACAACTTCGGTGAGCTGCAGCTGGTGCAATTCAGCTGATGCCTTCTACCAGACTTGGAGAGTCACAAGTGCTTATTAATATCTCTCTTCTCTATAAGATCAGACATTGCTCTGTAGTGTTAGGATTACTTATTTGGAAGTGATGAAGACAGCTTCTCCTCTGCAATAAGTAAGAATTAATTACAACTAACTTGAAATACAGCAAAATAAAGGTAGCTGATAATTACCTGGTACAGGAGTGAGGTAGTCCGTAATTATACCCTGAAATATGAGTTATTCTTTGTATGATAGGAGCTTCAGAATCCCCTAGGAGAGGACCAATATCATCAGAAACTGTTGGACAGCTCAAGTCCTTTTTTGTGCATATTCCATGAATATTTAGGTCTCTTCTACTTAATCTGATCAGCTCTGAATCATGTAGTTGAATGTGACCCAACATTTCCCCTTCACTCTTCTTCTCTTCATGGGAACTGAAATCAGATGAACCATACGATTCAGATTCACAGTGTTTAACTGATCCATCATTTTCTTCAAAGAAAGACTCAAAACGCAGCTGCCTACGGGGACCTGATCTGGTCACTTGAGGCTGAATGAAAAGGCCACTTTGTTGAAAATCTTGTTTGCTTAAGTCTGCAGTGCCTTCCTCTTGCATAATCTTGATTATTCTAATGAGCTGAAAGAGTCGTTTGCGGTCATTCATGTCGTGGACTCCCAGTTTGGTATAATCTTTCATGGAAACTTTGGCAAGCTCATCAATCTTCTGAAGACCAAAAGCAGCAAAATGAGGATAGTATTTTTCCAGTTCTGCCTCACAAAGGCATTCATAAAGGCATGATGCCATCTTCAAGCTAAAGTCTGCAAGAAATCAAACAAAATGAATATTAGAATCATAAGAAACATCACATCTGACAAAGTTACTAATGAAGAAGCTATACATTTCCTGATGCCATTACCTGCAGTTACGCTACAAGCTTGTTAAACTTGAAGTTTACAATACATTAGACCATCAAACACTAGAATATAGCAATAACAAAAACAAACCAACAAACAAACGTTTTATCTATCAAACTGTATTTTAAAATTATAGATAATACAGAATAATATGCAAGAAATGCACAATGCAGTGTTACTTACTGCTGCCGAGTTCCTACAGGCCTGATGCTTACTTGATGAATGTCGCAGCTACTGAAACCCTGTCCTCAAGCTACAGAATGTAAAATGCCTAATTTTAGATACTCAATTTAATGTCAGGGCATGTGGTCTAATGTGGTTCAGCTACTCCTGGCTAACTAACCAAAGGAGAAGAAACTTCATTTGCTGAATAATTCAGACCGTTCATCCTGTAGATGAACTACAGCAAAGTTGTAGTTTTGTCGTGTAACTTTCTCTTGTACATAATTAATCCTCTCAGCATTTCCAGGTGTCCCTGACAGAACAGCTAAAACTTTCTGCGAAATTCGAAACACATAATTTCTCTAAATCTATATATGCTACTTCAACGCCATTCTTGCATTCTTGGGAAACCCAAAAAAGCAACGTGCATCACTGAAAGGTATGCCAAAAAACCCTCAACTCCTTCACTCAAGTCTCCCTAGCAATGCATTGCGCAGCTGTCTGTATCCAGATGGATTAATATCTGCAGATATTTTTACTTGTTCCATAAAATGGAAAAATGATAGCACTTCAAGTGTCTGTTGCCCACTGTCGTCTTATATCTTTGCTCAGTGTAGGACTTTAGCAACTAAAGCTTTTACTCATGTCTGGAGATTACTATGACATTCAATAAAACCAAGTTACTTAAGACTAAGTTTTTCCCCCTGTAATTCAGGATATGTTCTTTGACAGGATTTTCAAGCATGTCTGCAATAACATCATGTAAGAAAACAAGGTCACCAAATATCACCCCAAATTCAATTCCGTATCATTAAAATTAACTAACATGTTGAAATAATAACAATAAAGCAATAAAGATTATACTGAAGTGTTGACTGTATAAGATACTAGAGAGACCGAAATGTGCAGCAGAGGACATCTAAAATGATACAGAAGCCGGAGTCTACACTGTAGACTGAAGTCAGCCATAACACAATCATGAGATTCAGCAGTAACAAGCTTCAAGACGAAAACATTGGTATGTAGGTAGACTTATTTAATGGATATGTAATGTGATTCTGAATCTTGAGGTAAAGAGCCACTGCTGAGATTATTAGATCATGGGAGGGGGAAATCAAAATTGACAGAGACAACAGCAAGACCAGGGATCAGAGAGGCTAACACACGTAGAAGGGTTTTCCCAAGCATCCACAATTTGCCAGGTTGTCTAACAAATAAAACTTCTCAGGAACTTCAGACTTCATTTAAAGAAGGGTTTTTAAAAAATGCCTATCTTGGTAGATTAAAATATAAAACCAGTGCAGGTCCTGTGTAACTCTCTGTAGGCACTGCAGCTTCTTCTGTTAGATGAAAGGAGCAGCTAGCACATGAAGTCCAGACACCAAGCTCAAAGTACAGAGAATCTGTTAAAGATTAAAACAAACCAGCAAACCTATTTCATCTACGCCCACCCTGTACCCTAGATTACACTTGCATCTTTATATATGTTTAAGGTAAAAATAAAGTGGTCAACAACCAGTACAAGAACTAATTTGGTGATAATCTCTGATTGAACGATAATGTTGACCATAGGAGAAGAGAGGATAAAAATTACAAAAAACAAAGACACTGCCTAAAACATGAGCAGCAGATAAGGGAAGAGAACTAAGAACTTTAAGTTCAAGGTTCTAATTAAAAATGAAACAAAATATTTTTAAATAGCTAGAAATAACCAAAGAGACAGACTTCCATTATGTGTGACAACAAGGGACTAAGATTCTCAAAATCCAAGTCATATAGGTGCCATGGAACATACGAGAAGGTTAGTCCTGAGACGTGTGAGCAGCTCTATGCGGGTCATTGGCCAGCGTCTGTGCCATGTGAAAGCAGCTAAACGGCATCTTGAAGAGACCTGGCCTGGCACATAATATAGCTGCTTGTGCTTCCCCAGACATAATTCATCTCACTGGATCTACGTGGTTTCAGATGACTCCAATGTCTCTCCATCCATGGAACAGCAATTTCACAACCTAGGAAAACTGAACCTTGACTAATAAAGGAGTAACAAATTCCTTAACCATGGAAAAAATTAAGCAATCGCCATGGTGATGGGTTCCAGCATTTCTGATTACATTAAAACTCAAGAGTAGACAGTTTTCTACAAGATTTGTTCTGGTTCATAGGCAAGAGAATTCAGAGGAAATTGGCATTGTAACCCTTCTGGCCTTTTAATCAGTGATGCTCTAAAAGAAAAGATTGTCTTTCTCTCATTAAAATAATGCTTCCATTTGTCCAACACTGTAGTGTTCTTTGTGTCTGAAGACAATTTCTGAAACAGATACATAATTCTCCAAAATAGATTGGATTTGTAAAGAAATAAAGAGTATTGGTAGGTTTTCAGGAATCCTAAATTGTTAATGATAATGCCATCTTCTGGCAAAAAAAGAGATGACTTCTAGTTTTGCACAATAAATAACAGCCAGCATTCCCTCAGTTATTGTCAGGATCTAATTCTGTTTGTTCACCTGAGAGAACATTGTGTCCTGGGGAAGAACAATGAAACATTTTTCAGTGCAGTAGTAGTTTCATATCAAAGCCCACATCTTGCTCCCTGCAAGCCTATGGGTAGCTTCAACAAAAGGAGGATTGAGACAAAAGCCTGAGGCTTCTTAAAACAGTTGGATATAAAATATGTTTTGAGAAAGAAATGAGTATGGAGGCATGTTGTTAATTAACTCTGGCTAGGAGGGGAAGAATCTGAGGAAAAAGACAAAGAAGCTCATAAAATTGAGATAAGAACTACTTACTATTTGAATCTAAATGAATACATACAAATATTACTACCAGTAAGTAATTAAAATAATAGAAAATAAAACATATGACCTATATGATAAAATTGCTCACCACCCACTGACTGATGCACAACCAAGTTCCAAGAAGTGAGAGCCAGAAAGCCTGACAGCTGCAGCCCGAAAGCGATTGTAGCAGAGTCTGAGCGAACCCTGTCAGTGACAGCACGACCACAAAAACTAAACAAACCTACCAACTCCCTTGTGAACGAGCCAGCACAGGAATTAGCAAAGCAGCTAACAAAGCAGTTAGAATGGTAGAAAGTGTAAGTGAAAGAGTAAAAGTGAAAGTGTGATGGCTCCCGAACCCACTCCTCACTTATGTACCGAGCATGACATGTTATGCAATGACATACTCCTTTGGTCAGTTTGGGTCAGCTGTCTGAACTGTGTGTCCCCCCACACTGCCTGTAGCAAAGAGAGTTGGGAATGCAGCTGCAGTACCAGAAGCTAAGAAAGACCTTGAATTTGTTGCAGGCACTCCCCAGCAGCAGATAAAAAAACACCTCATCAGTTCCTTTCTCAGAGCTAATTCAGGAGCAGAGCTTCACACCAGCCACTGTAAAGAGAGTAACTCTTTCCTGTCCAAAGCCAGCACAAGGTATAATTCTCCATAGGCACCCAGTTATAAGGTCAGATAGTCTCAGGGCTAAGGAAAACTTTTCATTCAGTCTCTATTACAACATTGCTTGTAATTCTTCATGTTCAGTGGTTGCCCTTCTCATTTTGGCTGGCAGAAACACTCAGCTTCACTTTGAAAATTTCACCTTCCTCTCACATGAGGGACCTGCTTTTCCTCGGACAGGAGGCTGCTGAAGCTGGCCAAGAAAAAAGGAAGTCAAGAAAGTCCAAAGTAGCTGTACTTACCAATACACAAACTATCAGTGAGAGAGAAACACTTAAGGGTGATATACCTTACATGTCAACATGCGATGCTGGAACATGTGGGATGTCTGCACAAGCGACCAGTCAGACTATCATCTTTACGTGGCAAACTTGCGTTCTCTACAACTTATTTCTTATACAAAGAAGTTTTACAAACATCTTAGAAGGCTGCCAGATAGTGGTACTGGATAAGTACCTATTGTAAAAAAGCCCTAGAATTTTATATAAAGGTGCCAACTCAAAGCACAAAGTAAGATCACAGCTTCTCATCAGAACACTCCTCCTGTTTCAGTAACAGAGGTTTTCTAATGTTCATAAAGCCAGGGAAAAGAAAAAAGTCAGGCATAAAGAGCAGAAACAAGCAGTTACATTTTATGTATTCTGAAGGAAATTAACAAAATTATGCTCTAGGAGCCAGTTCTCCATTTTAAAATGCTTTTAATTATTAATTAGCTCTTACACAGTTCTTTTCATCCTTGATACACTTTTTAAAGCAGAGAAAAGGCTGGCCTTCAAAGATACTTAACGATTGTCTGTCACTCTGCATAAAATAAATCACGTAAAATCCCTACATGGACTCTCTTAAGAATAAAGCAACCTTAGACCACGAGACCTTGACGCTTATTATCCTCTGATACATTAAAGATGTCAGTGCACCGTTCACTTGAATAACACTTATGTGTTCTGTTATTCCACTGTAGCGCACTCAGAGTTACCTGACTTCCACGGATACTCCTGAATGTCACCACAGAGACATGACACAAGTATCACTGTATCTGTATTTTAAACTAGGGAAATAAAGCCAAAGTGAAGAAATCTTACGTGGCACTCCTACAGATGAAAACTACTGCAACTATACATTTAATCCTGCATATAATCATTCTGAATCACAAACTCTGGTCTGATAATTAAATAATTTTATTAGGAACAACTTTCAAGGGCATCTGATAAACATAGTAACTGTTAATCGGTGCACAAAACTTAAACAGCACCTTGTTTTCCTGCCTACCACTTG